TTTTATTACCTACCTAACACATTTTTCTTGTTTCTACTCTTTTTGTTAAATATTTATTAAAATATTATTCTAAGCAATCACGAAGAAGTCACGACGCGGCGCGACTTTTAACGCGACTCGAGTTAAAAGTTAGGAAGTGCGAAAAAGAGAGTAATTATGACTTTTACAAGACTCTCCCAACTACGGTATCTTCGCAAACACGACTGCCCAGACGCCCTCGAGAACCAATACAACGCAACCGCCAAGGACGGCCGCTAGGAGTTATGGCTCCAAACAACATTGACCAGCCCGGCGCACTGGACTTCGTAAAGCCAGGACACCTGATCCACCTTCATTGCAAGGGCATGTATCCCTCAGACGGCAAGATTCGAGTATACATGTCTACTCTCAGACTCGCCGTCTTCGGGGCAGCTTGCAGTATAGACGCAATTGAGGCACTACCGGTGGCGTGTGATAACCGGGCCTCCTACGCCTAGCAGATGAGCTCAGGGTAAGGTCGCCATAACATTGGCCTTACCCCTGCTCCAGCTGGGTGTTGGTTTAATGTATTAAGTCCAGGATAAGCCCAGACACAATGCCCGATTAGTCCAAACGTCCGCGTAAGTGATCGGATAACCGGAGGGAGAGCCCGACTCTGAAGGCGCAACGAAACTCGTGAAAGAATCGGAGTGCCGAGAGAGTCGGAATTCCCGCGAGAGTCATAATTACACCCTTAATATACAAATACAAATTTCAAAGTTATCTACTTTATTATTTTATCATGCAAAACAAAATTTTTATATTTCAATAAAATATTTTTTCACAGATCGAATTAGAACTTTAAATATTAAATTCTACTACTTGTAAGTTACTAAAAAGTAAATTCTACAAAATGCGCGCGCAGTGCATCGACATAATTCGACATGATAAGCTCTGTTTTGCGAGCTCTGTGCGTGCGAACTGTGCGAGTATTTCCTCAAGCACAGTCGCACAACATATATAGATAGATATAGATAGGCAATACCAAGATTAAATATTTGCCCTAATCAAATTTA